GTCTTGCTTTTCTCTTGAATTCCGTCATCTGTCTTTCGGCTATCCGTGAACTTGCTCTCTTGGGAGACCTTCACTCACGTCATGCCGTTCGCAGTTGATGGAGGTTCTGTGATGGGAGTTTTGGCAATATGTCACGGACGAGGGTGGATCTCACAAACCCATGTGGGAAGCAGTCCACGTCCGTGACGCATTCAGTGCCCGGGATAGAACACGGCTATACCAATCAGCCACCGTGCAGATCCCGGGTGAATGCCCCCGCCTCATGTTGCCAAACCTCTCCCGCGTGCATGTTCGAAGCTCCATACTTGAATACCCACCGGGTTAATTAAGGGTGTTAGCAAGTTCACGCCTGGGTTTTATGTCAGTGATCTGATCCCTTCCGCCGTTCTCGGGTCCCCAACCCATGAAACACAGGTGTGGCCTTGTTACTAATCACTCTTAAACGCAAATCCTAGTGATCCCAGAAACACCTTATCCGACCATCCGCAGACTATGCGAGCAGCGGGCCTCGATCACAATTACTCATGAGTTCGTGGTTTACGGACTTATATGAAGTTCACCTCCTATCCACCTAGCCCAGAGGGCGGTGTACGTATTCTCTCACTATAGCTGTTCCGTGCCTGGCGAGCTTTTTGACCTCCTCGTCCCCATATGTATCGATCATCGCGTCATGGCGCCACCGCGATTTTCCTTTGATAATTGGCCTTGGTGCATCGGCACGCAAGTGATATATTGTCTCACTTCTACGGCAGGAATTACCAGAAAATTTCAGAGACTGCATAAGGTCCACCTCGCCAATAGAGTCCGGTAGAAACTGGGCCAAGCTTTTAACTTCCGCCGTAGACTTCTTATAGCTTTTGTGGAAGATTCTGAGTGGCCTGGCCGTCGTGTCTCAGAGGCTAATCATAGTGTGGCAGCAGCACCATTTCCCCCTTTGTTCGCACACATCCTCCGAAGCATTACACGAGGTCTCCACGTACTCAATCTTGTTGACTTTGGTGATACCGAGGTGTATTATAATATGAGTGTTAGGGACCCTAGGTAGTATCTCAGTGATATCCTGTCTTCTTATGCGCAGCAACTCGCCGGACCTTAAGCTCGGTGATATCCCGCTGAGGAGAGCTGATCGTACAAGGCTTTTCTCTGGTTTATCCTTGAACTGGGCCTCAGGACAGTCAAATAGGGACTCAACTGCACTCTCGGGCATTATGGCAGCGCGCTTGGCATCCCGCTGGGGCCTTATACCGTATAAGTTATACGTTAAACAGCCTGCATGGCTTGCTTGATAAGCATTTCATCCGCGGCCTCCATGGTGCTAAAGCCTTCCAGTTTCTGCAAAGTTCTTAGGGCTTTAATTCGCTTCTGTACCGAGGTCGAATTCAGCCCAGTTACATCCAATAGGCATCTGATGTATCGGATAACTTTACCAGCGTTGAGAGGGGAGGACAATCCCATTTCATAGACCTCTCTTCTTGCCCTTTCGTAGCCTCTTCTTGTGTCCTCACTTATCGAGAGCCCTAGTAGCTCCAGATTCTGAGCAGTAGCCTCAGCTGAACCGTGTGCGGGCTGAATCTCGTCCCACATCGTGAAGGCGGAGTTTTCTGACATGGGGGATGTAGCGGTCCAACGATGACGGACGAATCTTGCATCCCTTTAGTTGGGCCCACTCAAATTGACAGGAACTCAGTCGGGTCCGCAAACGAGAAACCGAGCACTATGAACCCACGTTAGTCGTGAGTCGCAACTTCTGACAAAGGTGATGTCTTACAGACTTGAAGAGGAGTGAACGCCACAGCTTTTTTGAGGACTTAACGTGGCACCTCCCGCCACGACCTCGGCATTTGACTGGTGGATACCAACGAAGCACGAGTTAACCTAGAGATATCATCAGCTATGCTGTTCAAGGTCCCGGGAATATGATGAGCATTGAGTCGGTAACGGAAGTCACCGAATTTCCGAACGACGGAAGCAAGGCTCATAGAGCGTGACCTGAAGCTTCTTAGTACTGACACCTTACAAGTGTTGTCAGAGAAGCATCTGATATAAGTCACCCGCGGAGCACATATTGCCCGGATGTACTCGAAGTCGTAATAGACTGCGAGTAGTTCGAGGAAATTACTATCACTGCTGATGAACTTCACTGGTTTCAGCTCGGCAGGAAGTTGATCATCGAGCCGACTCCTGCGCTCATACCAAATCTGCCTCCAAATCTCGGGGTTTTCCTCCATATTTATCGAAAACTATCTTAGATTCCGAGTATCGCATCGTGGAAAGAAGTCTCTATCCAGACCGCATCCAGAGGCATCGGTCACCAATAGATACTCATCCTTGTAGTCAATGTATGGAATACGTTTGTTGTGACTGTGAGTGAAGGTCTCGGCGGACTTATGTAGCTCTAGGCGCCTGGTTGGTGATATTCTGACGCTCCGAAGAGACGGTCGCTGGCTCAGGACCATCAGTACTTCATAGGGCTTATCCAATTTGGGCCGTATTTCGGGAATCCAACCTGTACACCAGTTTATGCGGCCAACGAGCGTCTCCAACGTTGCTCGCGGTATACATAGCTGATCGGATAGCAACACAGCGATTATCTTATCTCTTTTGGTCACCGGCACGCTGAGTTCGATATCGTTATTCTCCCCGATATCCACCCGATAACCAAGTATCCTTC